AAAGGGGTACCCGAGGCATTTTTCCCCCTACTGAACCATCCCCAACAGATATCTGACCAATTCTGGGGAACTACCCTCCAGGGTAACCCTGCAGCATGGTGCGGGATTTGGGAGCATACCCAGCAGTTAGAGAGGTTAAACTCTTGGGCAAAGCAAACCTTCAGGGACTCATATGTGTTTGTCTCTAAGTTAGTAGGGATTCCTTTCCATCCTGCATGTGCCTGGGGGGAAATGGGAGTTAACAAGAGGAGTGTCTCTATGGCAAAGAGTACCACTGTGGCAGACCCTAGACCTGAACTCATATTGGGCAGGTGACCCTAGGGCCTAACAATCACAATTCCCCAAATACCCACAAAATAACAATTACCAATAGTAAGCAGATTAAAAACAACAGGGTCCAGGCCACCAGGTTAGGCCGGCCCTGTGAAAATAAACACAACCAAGGCTCAGAGGTCTCACGGGGAGTGCGCTGTGACTGTCCAAAGAGAGCACAGGGCATTCCCAGCAGACACTATTGTCGCCTGAATAACAGCTTAAGTCCCAGATCGTCGCTGGCAGTCTTCTCTGCAGGCTGGACGGTCCACCGTTCAGGAGCAGGCACTGCTTTCAGGCGAGAGTGATGAATCCAGTTCTTGTGTCCCTCAACCTTTGCCGCTGTATGGGAGACCAGCAGGACGGTGTGAGGTCCCTTCCACTTCTCTTGGAGAGGCTCGTCCTTCCAGGTCCGAACGAGTACAGAGTCACCTGGCTGCAAGGAGTGGATCGGGGCATCCAGCGGGAGAGGCTGCAAATCTTTGGTATACCTGTGGAGAGAACAAAGAACAGCAGACAGAGAGCACATGTACTGAGATAAGAAGCCACACCCCATTTCCCACTCCCCTGCCAGAACCGGTGTACCATTCATAGGCCATGCCCTTCCAAACATAATCTCGAAGGGACTGAGCCCTAACCTGCCCTTAGGGAGAGCGCGAATGCGGAGCAAAACAAGGGGCAAAGCATCAGGCCACTTAAGGGAAGCCTCTTGGCAAACCTTTGAGAGGTGCCGCTTAAGAGTCTGATTTGTACGCTCCACTACCCCACTGGCCTGCGGTCGCCATGGCGTGTGAAGCTTCCAGGGAATCTGTAGGGCATCCGATATCTTCTGAATGACTTGGGATGTGAAGTGTGTTCCATTATCAGATTCCATCCACTGGGGAAGCCCGAAGCGAGGAATGATCTCCTTGACAAATTTGAGAGCCACTGTCTTGGCAGTGTTGTTACGACATGGGAAGGCCTCAGGCCATCCGCTGAATCGATCTACCAAGACAAGGAGGTATCTGAATCCTTGGGTCCGGGGGAACTCAGTAAAATCTATTTGCCAAACCAGTCCCGGGCCTGGGGTAGGCTCCAAAGTGGCTGGCAACACTGACACTCCCGGTCGAGGGTTGTTCTTCTGGCAGACTAAACATTCAGCCTGCACCTGGGAGGCCAGAGGCCTAAGTCCAGAGGTTAAAAAATATTTACCCATTAGCTGAGAGAGAGCCTCTCTCCCTGCGTGAGTGGTTTGATGTAGCTGCTGCAACACCGGCCGAATTAGGCCCTTTGGTAATAGGATCTTTCCTTCCAGGGAGTGGAACCACCCCTCTTTTTCCTGGAGACCGAGCCTGCCTGCCAGGTTCCTTTCTTCGCCAGAGTACTGAGGGATCGGGAGCTCCCCCACTGATGGGATGAGGGCATGCATATGGGCATCTTCAGCTTCCAATGGTTCGAGGGTAGCAGCTCGCTTGGCCTCCCTATCCGCTCTAGCATTACCTCTGGCCACATCTTGCTCTTCCTTTTGATGAGCCTTGCAGTGTACCACTGCTACTGCTGAGGGGAGCTGCACTGCTTCTAAAAGCCGGAGAATCTGGGATCCATGTTTGACAGGAGAGCTTTGAGCTGTCAACATTCCTCGTTGCTTCCATAAACCAGCATGGGCGTGTAGTACTCCAAAGGCATATCTGGAATCAGTAAAAATGTTAACTCTTTTCCCTTTTGACAGTTCAAGTGCACGGGTTAAGGCTACCAATTCAGCCAGCTGGGCTGATGTCCCAGCAGGTAAACCCTCTGCTCCCACAGTTTCGTGAACAGATACAACAGCATAGCCAGCCCTCCTTTGCCCATTTACAACTGTACTACTGCCGTCGGTATACCACTCATAATCAGCATTCAGGAGGGGTTGATCTTTTAAGTCTGGGCGGCTGGAGTATTGAGCATCTATGACCTCCAAACAGTCGTGTTCCTGCTCCTCTGTCTCCGGTAACAAGGTAGCTGGGTTAAGGGAGGGACAGGTCTGTAAGGTAACTTCAGGATTTTCTACAAGCTTTGCCTGATACTGAGCTACCCGAGCCTGGGTAAGCCAGAGACCACCCTTAGTATCCAGCAGGGCTTGAACCATATGGGGAGTATACACTTGCACAGTTCCCCCCAGTGTCAGTTTCTCAGCTTCCCCAAGCACTAAGGCAGTTGCTGCGACCGCTCGCAAACATGCTGGCCATCCCTTAGCAACTTGATCCAGCTGTTTAGAGAAATATGCCACGGGACGTTTCCAGGTGCCTAATAACTGAATAAGCACTCCCAGGGCCACACCTTTCCTTTCATGCACATACAATTGGAATGGCTTAGTGAGGTCGGGCAAACCAAGGGCTGGAGCTTCCATCAGTTTCCTTTTTAAAACCTTAAATGCTTTGTCGGCTTCTGAGGACCAGTAAAAGGGGTCATGATCCGCTCCCTTAACACATTCATACAAGGGTTTAGCCCACAGTCCAAACTCTGGGATCCAAATCCTACAGAAGCCTGCCATACCCAGAAATGCCCTGAGCCGTTTACGATTGCTTGGGATAGGAATTTGGCAGATAGCTTCCTTTCTTTCGTTCGAAAGCTGACGTTCCCCCTGCCTTATATAAAATCCTAAGTAGAGTACTTCTGGAAGGGCAATTTGAGCCTTACTCTGTGCTACTCGATATCCTCGGAGTCCAACAAAGTTCAGGAGGCTCACAGTGGCTTTAAGGCAAGAGGTTAGACCCACAGCAGCAATTAACAAGTCATCCACATATTGCAGGAGGAGGACATTGTCCTCGTTGTCCCACTCCTCCAAGTCTCTAGCCAGGGCCTGGCTGAAAAGGGTGGGGGAATTTTTAAACCCCTGGGCCAGCACTGTCCAGCAAAGTTGCTTTCTAACCCTCCTTCTGTCCTCCCACTCGAAGGAGAAAATCTCCTGTGACTGGGGGTCAACCGGAATCGTGAAGAAAGCATCTTTTAAATCCAGGACTGAAAAATGGGTGTACTGCCCCCCTATAGAAGCCAACAATGTATACGGATTGGGAACAAGGGGGTGTAGAGTCTTAACCCGCTCATTAACTGCCCTCAGGTCCTGGACCAGCCGGTATGTGCCATTGGGCTTTTGTACAGGCAAGATAGGAGTGTTCCAAGCTGACTGGCATTCTCGAAGTACCCCGCACTTTAGGAACTGATCTATAGTTTCCTGCAGTCCCTCTCTGGCCTCCTTTTTGATTGGATACTGCTTGATTCGCACTGGACCTTTTCCTGGCAAAAGCTGAACAGTAATAGGAGTATGATGGGCTGCCTTTCCTGGGATCCCTGATGCCCATACCAGAGGAAAAACCCGCTTCTCCCACTGACTCCACTCTGGGGCTTGCATAGCTGAGGGCTCAATTGCAAGTGTCATTATCCAGGCATTCTCTGGGGGTAAGGTGAGGCTTATTTCATCTTGAGTGAAATGCAGGGTAGCACCTAAGCGACAAAGCAGGTCCCGTCCCAATAGAGGCGTTGGACAATCGGGGAGGTAAACCAGTTTGTGAGATAGAGTTCTGTTTCCCAAAGCACATTCCGCTGGGGCATATACTGGACACTTAGTTCCTTTCCCTGTTGCTCCCACCACAGTGAGGGAATCTGCCACAGGCAGCTGAAGGGGTTGGTTTACAGCAGTTCGTGCAGCTCCAGAGTCTATTAAAAAGTCTATGTCTGAATCTCCCACCCGCATTTTTACTCGGGGTTCCGGGGGCAGGATAGTCCGTCTCCCCTGACACCCCTATTCTTGATCCTCTGCTGCCATCATAGGGGTACCTTCCCTTTCAGGGCACTCATTTTTCCAATGTCCCTCCTTTCGGCATATGGCACACTGATTGCGACCCAGACGCCTTTCTTGTAAGCCAGGGCGCCCACGCCCACGTCCTCTCATTCCCCGGCCCCTTCCACCTTCCTGAAATCTTCCCCTGCCACCAGCCTGTACTGCTGCAACCATCATTTTCACTTGCCTCTTTTCCTTTTCTCCTTCCCTAAGGCTGTAAGCCCTGTTTGCAGTTTCCAGAATCTGTGCCATTGTCATGCCCATCAAATCCTCCTTTTTCTGCAGTTTCCTTTTAATATCAGGGGCAGCACGACTGGTAAAGATACCCTTTATAATTGCCTCAGTAGCCTGATCATCGGGGTTTGCATTAGTAGTTTGCCTGATGGTATCCCGAATACGCTGCAGAAAAGCAACCGGACTCTCCTTTGGCTCCTGTACTAGCTCATACGGCTTAGCCCAATTGTTATGTCTGACAGCTGAGTGTCGGAGACCATGTAATAGGAGCTCCTTGTATACAGTGAGACGGGTGAGATCTGCCGGCACGTTGGGATTCCACTGGGGGTCTGCTGTAGGGACCTGAACTGCAGCAACAGGGACGTTTGCTGCGTTTGCCTCATGTCTATGCTGTGCCTCCTCCCGTGCCTTAGACACAACCTGATTTCGCTCCACCTCAGACAGCAGAGTCCGCATAAGGATATTACAGTCATCCCAATCAGGTTTATGACTCGCCAGACACCCTTCAAAAACCGAGAGAAACTTGCTTGGATTCGTAGAGAATTCCCCTGCCTGTGTCTTAAAAGCTGCCAGATCCACCGGATTAAAAGGCACATGGGTGTAAACCTGCATTGTAGTGGCTCGGCGATTATCTGTTCCAGGGCGGGCTATCCGAGTCTCAGTAATCAATGGATAGAATCCCACCGAGGGGGCAATCTCTGGGACCTGAGGCACCCTGTCTTTATATGGTGGGGGTGTTGGAGCCGAAGGGGACACCGACTCTGCCATCACAACCGGGGGAGGGTTCTGGGGACTAACAGTAGTTACTACCGAACCTGTCGGAGTCAAATTACACCTTTGCAAAAGATCTGACCTATTTCTTAACAACATAAACAACTGTACATACATATGTTCATTCCATTTACCCGTACGCTGACAAAACAAAAGCAATTGAAGGACCGTATTATAATTAAGTGATCCCTCCGGTGGCCACCTTTCCTGGTCCTCTAGTTGATATTGAGGCCAGTCTACTGTACAGAATCTTTTCAGTTTACTTTTAATCAATGGATCCGATCCAAACACTTTCCAGTTCACCAGAATGCATTCTAAGGGTGTACACCTTGCCCTGCCTACAGTACTCTGCCCCTGCCCCATATTAGGGAGACTCTGGGCGTCCCCAAGTCAAAACAGGTAGACACTGGGCGTCCCCAGGTCAAGACAGATAAAGTTCCCACTGAACTATTCCTACCTTATCCACAGGACCGGTTCCCCACCGTCGCCCGCAGCTGCTTCTCCACTACTCAAGCGCGTTGCACCGTTGTGCCCTCCGGGGTCGACCAAACCACGTCTCCGCCGAGGCCCCCGATGAAATCACCGGTGCGCGCTGGGCGTCAGTCGTCGCCGCAATCCGTCGACCTCCGAGAGGGGTCCGGGCAAGGCTAAATTTCCGCCTCGAGCCCCACGTTGGGCGCCAAGACTGTTGCTGGCACAGAGGTGCCCGAGGCAAAGCAACAGGGGTTCGTTG